TACAGGGGCGGGTAAGAATATAGGACATTTTGGCGGTAATAAATCCTCATTATTATTTTTTTTCATTTATTTGACAATAATTTTCACTTTGTATGCACGCATAAATCTATTCCTGATTTGTGGGAAGAGTATAGACTTTTTTTCTGCAACTGCTTTTCGTTTTTGGCTTCTATTCGTTGCAAAGTTGTGGCCTAATTTCTTTCTTTTTTGGCTTGAATTTTTTTAATTGATGTTGTTGGGATTTTTTTCTCTTTACATTTTGGAAGGGGGACATGTAAATGTAAGGGGCGTGTTTGGTTTAAAACAAACAAGATATTTCTATACCACCAGTGATAGAGTAAATTGCAATAATGCCAAATGTTGGTGGGGCTTTTTTTCTATGTGAATGTTTGTCTGTCAACACCATTTCCTTTTTCAGCCACTAAACTGTAGATTGCATGGTTCCTTGTTCCTCGTTGCACGCTTTCTTCGAGTAACAATTTTAAGTGCACCGTTCTTCCAGATGATTGTTCTCTATTAACTTTGTTCTTTGCCCACGGGAAGGACGCGCGCCATGATTTTCTAGAAAGCAAGGTCGAAAGTGAGTTGAGAATCTGCAACGGTATCGAATGGGTTTAGCGATCCCTTTTGCGCATTAATGCCCATCTCTGGTAGAGCTAAACCATTAATTTGGAAGGGAGCCCTAACTAGCTAGAAGTCAGGAAAGCTCATTTAAAAAACCAATCCAAAAAACGAGAAATCGGAGTCAAAGAGTACATGACGTCCTCAAAACCAAGATTGCTTTGTCAGCAGTTTAAAAAACTTCATGAAATGGAGGGCACAGATCGCAGAAAGAGGAAACCACGGACAAAAATAGCTCAAACAATTGTTTCACGGAAAAAGGGATGTTGTAAGAAGGGGAGACAGTGGTGGATAGGCGGACGGTGGTAGAGAAACAAATAAACAGTGACAAACGCACAGGCTGCAGCACGAGGTGGAAGAAAAGCAAGAGAACACTCTTACTCACAGATAGACTAATGCACGCAATTAAACATCGATGTATACGGAAAAGGAAAATCAAGACAAATTGTAACTTTAAAAAATGTAATAAATTCACGTAATTTTACAACTGACAGCGTATATCAGTCTCAGTATTTGGTCTCGAAAACTCCCAACAGTGCCTAATGTTACCCAATGCTCTTTTTTAACATAAAGAACCCGGACCATATGTACATGTATTAACTTAAGTGGTTTCCATCTGCCATATATATCGATTTCAGCCTTCAATTATTAGGTGGGCATGTCTGGCAGAAGAATACCCTCGTTTCCCAAACACAAAGAACACTTTATTCGTTTCGGAGCTAATTTCCCCTGGGTGTAGGGAGCACTGACCTCCAAAATACAACAGCAAATTAATTGCATTTCGGGATCTTCGATGTATCAAAATTTTTCCAACGGACAGTTGGGTTCTTTTTCCAGGATGCCAGTTGTGCGTGCCGAGTTTTTCACCACCCGCTATTCTCACCTCAGAAACGATATACCAGATTCCAACTCTGGATTCATAAGGTGACCATCGTCAGTTGTCACTCAAGATATCATGCATTATGACGATATTGCATTTTTTCTTAGTTTAGTGATAACAGGCTACTGGATGGTCAGTTTTCTATTTGGAAATTTTCTCGTCATAGGTTAAGTCAAAGCAAATGCAATGCCTTCTCTTGATAGGCAGGTGTATCTCTGTCAGCGGTACTCACTGGCCTCTGCTCTGGGAAGAATAATGAAAATGATAAATAATATGTGGAATTGTTTATCCTTCATCTAATGCCGCGAGTGGAAAAAATGTTTGGACTGCAGGTCTTCTTGGCCGTGATATACACTGAACTGGCAGCTACTTCTAATTGGATGGCGGATGCGACGAACAACTCAACTTGTGGTACAAAAAAGAAATACAATTGAGTTTGAAAGTACGAAAAGAGAAACGTAGGGAGTCAGATTGGAGTACATGTATAACGGTATTATTGACGGCAGCACTAAAAGCCGGACTCCACGCTGCCCCAACCACCCACATCCTTGCAAATAGTATACATCTGATTCGTCTCAGTTCATCAGAAAACTAGGAAAAGCTAGAATTACATTAATTTACAACCACCCCCCCTCCCTTCTCCCGTCCCGGACTGGCCATCATTTTTATCTCCCCTTTACTTCTGAAGTCTGCTGGATGTTCATAGAATGTGGCAAGGGTCATACAGTACACCAGTGTACACTTCTGATTGCGCAGAGACGATCGATTCTCGCAAAGATCTCGCAATTTTTTAAGAAAGGAAATGTGCTGTGCTTCAAAGTGGCAAACGTTTGGGAAGGTTATATTTTTCCCCACTTCATCGGGCTTCTTTAATAAAAGGTCGCAGAGTTGGAGAAGACAGCTGTCAGTGTAATAGTAATCCTGTAAAGTGGAGATTCGTATTTAATAACTGAATCGGCTGCACTGCTATTCACATTGTGCTGGGGTGTTCATCTTCCA